AAAAGTAGAATAATAATTGAGAAAAATAATTTTAAAATATATATTAAAAATATAGAAAAAGAAATATAATATATATAAATACCCCTTTCTTTAACCTTTCTATCTATGTATTCATCTATTTTTGGAAAAGGAGAATAGAGAGCAGATAGATCTGAGTTGATGATAGAAACTAAGTTATTAGATGAAGAGAACAAGCGAGGAGAGGAAAAAACGCATAAACAACAACAAAAAACAGACAACAACAAGAAAGAAAGAAAAAAAGAAAAAAATTGGCTAGCAAAGAAAGAGAAAAGAAAAGCGTGCATGGATGTGGAGCAGCGGAGAGGAAATTAGATATATAAGTAGGCCAAGGGTGACTACTTTAATATTAATGTGTCAATAAAGCAGATAAAGATCAATTTTTAACAAGGAGTAAAAAGAAAGGATAGAGAAAAACTAAAGCAGGAGCAGGAGATGAGAAAGGGAAAAGTGAGGAAGTGTTGGCTTAAGGAAAAAAATTGAGATAAAAATAATGATAAAAAATGAATAAATAAAAATAGAATGTAGAACACTAATCCAAATAATTGAGAAAAATAATTTTAAAATATATATTAAAAATATAGAAAAGGAAATATAATATATATAAATACCCCTTTCTTTAACCTTTCTATCTATGTATTCATCTATTTTTGGAAAAGGAATAAATAATAATAATAATTTATAGTGAAAAAAAATTTTGGTTTCTTAAGTAAAAGATAAAAAATGAAAAAGTGAAGAAGTGAAGTTCGTTCACTTCAGCGGGCTTTCAGTGTCCCATGGGGCATGGCTTACCCCTTTCCACTGTTCTCTGTTTCCTGTCAGGTAGTCAGCACAGTGTTGAATTTCCCATTGATCCACCACTACTCTGTGTCATACGCCACAACTTTGGTATGAATCAATCTGCCCACTTTGTTTTTCCGCCAGCTTTCAGTCATATTTACACAAGTGTCTGTTTCTGACATGGACCTTAGGTGGCAGTGTTTCTGTAATAGTTTTCAGGACCAAATGGCCCCTCAACCCAGTCCCCCAGGGCTCCCTGGGGGTATTTAGAATCTTCCTTTCTCTGCGGTGCTCAAGACTGGTTGCAGCTCTGCTGCTAGGAGGAGCCTGGTCTTAGGAGAAAAATGTCTGTTCAGGGTTGGAGGGATGGGCTGTCCCAGAGCTGGCATCCTTATCATCTCTATTCTGCTCCCGAATTTCCACAAAAACCACCATCTCCTGAAGGCCCAGTGAGTGTTTTTAATTGAAAGATCCTATGCACTGGGTTTAGCAAGTAAAAGCAAGAAGATTATAAAGACAGAGCAACCATGCTGCCTCGGGTCTTTCTACCTTCGACACTGTGTGACCAGTGTAGAACTTCAGGTTGCCTTTCTGGGCACAGCCTCACACAGCTTAGATCTAGAGTCCCCCACTGCTAGCAGCCCTATGGACCCCTTACCACATTCCAGGGCTACACTGACCCCAAGGGATGAGGATTTGGTGCAGCACAGTCTCCCTCTGAAACTCGAGTCCCAGCTGTGTGCGTCTCTTCCTCCAGCCCGGATCTCGGTATCCACCTCTCTCCAGGCAATCTCTGACCTTTCTGTCTACAGATTGCCTCACTAGCTGTGTTTAATTCACCAGTTCTGGGTGGATGTTAATCGATTCAGCTGTTTCTTCTATTGGCTCTGTCAGAAGGTGCAGGACCCATCTGCTTATTTGGCCTCGACCTTGTCTCCCCTGGACAAACTTTTTAGGTACCTGCAGCCAGGCAGGCTGGAGTCTTGGTGTACGTGGGTTCACAGCTGGTCCCTGGCCAGTGTGGCTGTAGGATCCCAGGTGGTATTCGAGGTCTTCCCCCAGTGAAGGTAAGACAGGGCTTCCGATCGCAGTCGCTCTCCCCTTCAGATGGCGCAGTCTCTGTGGTAGAGCCGGCTGCCCTGGAAGGATTTCAGCGGTAGTAGAGGCTGTCTGGCCAGGGGAGCCTGGTCTGCCAGTCCCCAACAGCCCTGTGGAATATAACTCCCTCACTCACACATCCACACATTCCCCTAACATCCACACATTCCCCTTTCGCTCTCTCACTCACTCCTACACTATCTCCCTCACTGCCATCCTGTTGGCCACCATCTTGGATCTCCAGGGTTAGTTCTTTTGGTTTGCGAATATTTTACTATAGTTGCGTCCTTGGAATAAATCCCACTTGGTCATGGTGTGTGATCTTTTTAATATATCGCTGGATCTCATTTGCTAATATTTTGTTGAGGATTTTAGCATCTATGTTCATCAGGGATATTGGCCTTTAATTCTCTTTTTTTCTAGTGTCTTTATGCTGCCTCAGAAAAAGAGGTTGAAAGTATTCCTTCCTCCTGGATTTTTTGGGAATAGTGTGAGGAGGATAGGTGTTAGTTCTTTGAATGTTTGGTAAAACTTCCCCGTGAAGCCGTTTTGACGAGGGCTTTTGTTTGCTGGAAGTTTTTTGATTATTGCTTCTATTTCCTCAGTTGTTATTGGCCTATTCAGGTTTTCTGCTGCTTCTTGATTTAGGTTGGGAAGATTGTTTTTTTTTTAAGAAATTTTTCCATTTCATCCACATTGTCCAGCTTGTTGGCATATAGTTGCTCATAGTATTTTCCTATAATCCTTTGTATTTCTGTGATGTCAGTTGTTACTTCACCGCGTTCATTTTGGATTTTACTTATTTGGGTCCTCTCTTTGTTTCTTGATGAATCTGGCTAAAAGTTGATCAATCTTGTTTATACTTTCAAAAGAACCAGCTCTTGGTTTCATTATTTTTAAAACTTAGTTGAAAATTTTTGATTATCATATTCTTAATCTTAGATTTTGTTTTCTGAATATTATTTTTTTATAATATTCTTTCTTGTCTTATATCTCTAAATATGGTAATTATATATTTTTTCCAATATTTTTCTTGCTATCTGCATTTGCCTCTTTTCCTTAGGATTCTTTTATCTGTTTTATTGACTTTGGTCTGAAAAACAGGAGGTTTTCCTGAAATTAATGGTGCTTATTGGTTGTCTATCCCTGTAAGAGCAAGGCACTAAAATGCTTCCTGGGGACTCAGTGTTTGGTCTCAGAACATCTAGGATTGTTGTTATTTACTATATGCTCTTTGGTCTGTATCTTCAGATGAGAAATTTGCCTTGCATGGAATAAGCCTCATTTTGTTCCCTATTTTTGTCTAGCACCTCATTCCTGTTTTGCTCTATCTATGCCTGGCATTCCTAAATTTGGTTCAGTTTTTGTAGTATATTTCCCACTTATTGCCTCATTTTTTCAAATTATAAGCAAAAGTTTATGCAGAAAGTCACAGAGGTAGAAGTGAACCATAGAAGAAATGGTTTTAGGAAACAAGTTACAGAGGCAAAAGAAAGGCCAGTGGAGCTTAGGAGAGAGAAAGGTAAAGGTCACATGCTTGGTGGGAGAAGGAGAGTAGGAAGGGAAAGGTGTGAGCATGCTCCTGAGAGAGAGAGAACCCCGCCTATTGCCTCTATTGCCTCTTATTCTTAGTTTATCTCCTTTTTGTTAATATTCTTTTTTCAGATAATGATTAAGTGAAATCATTTTTGTAGATATACTCATATTCCAGGCATATGACTGAAACTCACTTAGATTGTATCTAAATTTTCAGTCCACTGTAAATAACTAGTCAGCCATTACCTATTTCTATATCTACCTATGTATCTATCTAGTTATCTAACATCTAAGAGAATGAGTTCTGAGTTTCTCACTATTGCTACCATGTACTAACTACAAATATCAATTCAGAAATTGCTACTCGGATTATTAAAGTAGATCCTAAGTATACTATGTATTAAAAATGTATTTTTCTTTTTGAAAATAAGGTTTGCTTTCCTTTTGAAAATTAGGTAAGTCAAAAATGGCAGAACTCTTTATGGAATGTGAAGAAGAAGAGTTGGAACCCTGGCAGAAGAAAGTAAAAGAGGTTGAGGATGATGATGATGATGAGCCGATCTTTGTTGGAGAGATAGCAAGTTCAAAACCAGCAATTTCAAGTAAGCATTTATTTTTAGTGAAGCCAAGTTTTATAAAATACTGTTTCTAATGGAAAAAGTTTACAAACTGGCTTAGGAGGTACTTATGTCCTTGCTTCTCTGTAAAGAATTGGGAATGAAAGGTTGGGTGGGAGATAAGTAAGACTTTTAGAAACAGGGTGGGGATGTGATTGGGTACTTGAGGGAGGAGTTAGGTTAAAATATCAGATCTGAGAAAAAGAAATGGACTAAGATTAGCTGGTGACATTGGAGGTCTTTTTTTATTAGAAATCATAATTTTGCCGAAACCGGTTTGGCTCAGTGGATAGAGCGTCAGCCTGCGGACTGAAAGGTCCCAGGTTCGATTCCGGTCGAGGGCATGTACCTGGGTTGCGGGCACATCCCCAGTAGGAGATGTGCAGGAGGCAGCTGATCGATGTATCTCTCTCATCGATGTTTCTAACTCTCTATCTCTCTCCCTTCCTCTCTGTGAAAAATCAATAAAATATATTAAAAAAAAATAAATCATAATTTTTATGGAGCTAAATTTTCTACTTATATATGTATTCTTTTTTTTCATTTAAACTCAGAAGTAGAGGGGAAAAAGGGTTTAGAATACTTTGTTGAAAATGTCAGAATGTACTAAATAAGTTTGTGTTATTCTTAGATAGGGGTTCTCAATTCTAGGCAACTGCCTTATCGCAGTGTCATCCATTCATAGATATAAAATGTATGGGTAGTGAATGATTGCAGTCTCTGGCCTGTATGCTAATAGTTGCTTCTGATCACATCCATTTTCCAGCAACTTGCATTTATATTCATGAAAGAGAAGGGCACTGTCTACAGCTACTGTATTTGGATGACATAGCAGTTAAATCTTTATGGGTTTTTAACAGAACATCTTGATATGTTTATAGATACTAAATTTCAGTTAGAGTAATTGGATTTGACCTTGTTATAATGTTCAAGCAAAGAGCAATAACACCTTTTAAAATATTCGCTCAAAAATATATAGAAGTGTAGAGAAGTAATGTATGAATGTTAGATTTTCTTACCAAGATAGTGCTTAAAAGTGTGATTAAGAGGCTACCTTAGCCCTGCCGGTGTAATTCAGGGGATTTAAGTGTTGTCCCGTGCATTGAATGGTCACTGGTTCGATTCCTGGTAAGGGTATATGCCTGGGTCGCAAGATCCCCAGTAGGGGTGTGCAGGTGGCAGCCCATCCATATTTTTATCCCTCTCCCCCTCTCCCATCCTCTGTCTCTAAAAATCGTAAAAAATACAGGTATTTTTAAAAAGAATCCCTTGCTCTTTGCCCTTAAAAAACAAAAGAGGTTATTTAAAATATTTGGAAAGCCTGATACTTTCTTCTGTTGCCCCTAAACTTGTAAGGGCACTATTATTCAGTTTTATCAGAGGGATAATAACAATTGAATTCTCAATACCACGTCCTCTGGCACATTAATAATCTCTTATGGAGGTTCTAATTGGAGTGCCACTTTGATTATGAATTAAATGATACTTGTTGATGATAGTAGAACATAATTATATGTTCTCTTTAATTATTGTTTCTAGTAATTGTGATTATTTTATACTGGAATATTACCATATTGTAAAATTGTTATTGAAATTCTCTTATTGAAAACATGACAGTTAAGATTCAAGTTGATTTTATACTGATTGGACATGATTTAACAGTGTTCAACTAGAATAGTGTATACTAGTCCTATATAATAAAAGCCTAATATGCTAAGTGTCAGGTCGTCTGGTTGTTCGTTCAACCAACCAAAGCGTAATATGTTAATGATATGCTAAGGCCACTCAACTGCTTGCTATGGCGTGCACTGACCACCAAGGGGTAGATGCTCTTACCTGTAGGTTAGCTTGCTGCTGGGGTCTGACCGATTGGGGCTGAGCGAGACAGGCCAGACACACACTGGAGCCCTCCTGCGGTCCCTCCCTGGCTGGCCAACCTCCTGTGTCCCTCTCCAGCCCCTATTGTGCACCAGTGGGGTCCCTTGGCCTGGCCTGCGCCCTTTCACAATCCAGGAGCCCTCGGGGGATGTCGGAGAGCCAGTTTCTGCTCAATCCCGCAGGCCAGGCTGAGGAACAACAGTGGTACACGAATTCATGCACCAGGCCTCTAGTTTTAAAATAATTATGTCAAAAAGGAGATTGACCCCCAGTAGAATTTCTTTTCTGAATTGTTAAGATACAGAATTTAAATGATTGTATTGTTGGTTATGTGTAGGCCATAAAATGTTAACATGGAATATGGTTTGAATGTTTACATAGAATTACCAGAAAGAAGGGGAAAATCTGTGTTTTGTAGAATACAACCACTAAAAAGTACTTTAATAATAGTTCTTCGTTGGCTTGGTAAATACTTAATCATGAATTGCAGAATGAAAATGGTGTTAAGTTATTGGGGCAAAGTTGTTTATTCAGTAAGACATATGTAGTGCTTAGTTATAGACACTACATTGTCATTATCAGATAATAACCCTACTTCTGTATGGCCCCTTACTTTATAGGATTATTTTATGAGATCTGGTTATTTTTTACTGGGATGGAAGAAAAGGACATTTTAATGATATTTGGAGTGTTTGTGCTTTTACCTTTTTCTAACCAACAATTTAGGCAAAACCCACTCTTCCAAATTTTAGTTTGAGAATTGAGTAACCTAAGAGTTACAGAGTTTATATGCATGTAAGAATAAGGAAGTTTAAACTGATCCTGAAAGTCATATTAGACTCACATTGACTTCTGCTATAGTGGTAGATTTGAAACTCCATAAGTTATAAGATACTCTGGTAAACTATAGGTTCATTTTAGTTTGTAGCCTCTGGTAGTTTCTCTTTCAGAAATCAAGAGTAATGGTGCAGATAATCCAATGAGATCCCTCATAAGGTCACTTCAAAGCTTTTAGGGATGTGAATGGGATATGGAGCTTGGACAAGATTTTGATTTTGAGTAATAGGAACCTGAGTGTATATACAACCCTATCATCACTCAAAGAGAGACATATACTTCAATTATAAGTTGTATATGAATGTACTTTTGGAAAAGTTTTATTAATAATGTGGAATATTTCTTTGCCATGTAAAAGGTTTGACTTATATAGTCAGATTTATCAATTTTTTATTTTTGGCCTTTGGATTTTGAGTTATAGTTAGAAAGGTTCTAATACTATGCAACAATTAAAGCTTGTAATCTTGTCCCTTTAGTAAGTAAATAAATAAGTTTAACTGTATTTTAAAATAGTGATAACTTATAACTTCTTCCAGGAATCTATTTGTTTTTAAGTCATGATTTCTATTTTAATATATATTTCATTCAAATAAATGAATTTTAAAATAAATTCAATTTTTTTCAGATATTTTAAATAGAGTAAACCCCAGCTCATATTCAAGAGGAATAAAGAATGGCGCACTCAGTCGGGGTACAGTATTATTTTACTCTTTTAATTTTAAAGAGAAGTATTTTGAATCATTGATTATGTAGAAATATATTCAATATATTGTGTAATTTTGAAATACAGGTATTACTGCTGCATTCAAGCCTACAAGTCAACACTACACGAACCCAACATCAAATCCAGTGGCTGCCTCGCCAGTAAATTTTCATCCTGAATCTAGATCTTCAGATAATTCTGTTATTGTTCAGCCTTTGTCTAAACCTGTAAGTGTTTCTGAAACTACACAGTCAGCTCAGGTATACATTGGATATTATTTATAAATGTCAGCAATACTCAATTAAAATTCTGAACTAGCATGGGTAGAAGCATTATCAGCATCAGAAAATGTCACCATTAAGAGCTCAGAAAATGTCACCATTAAGAGCTCAACCAGTACCCAAAGCAATGACTGCAGGAACTACCCAGCCTGTTTCTTAGTAATATGATTAAATTGAATAGGTACAGTATTAAAAACTGTGCTATCAAAACATGAATAAAAGTATAGTCAGTAATGAATATTGCATAATGGCAAACTGGCTAAGATTATAAAATGCACCAAGTATTCTTCATTCTTAATTAGGAAAATTATTGAGAGTCTATCATAGCTTTTTATTCTGAAAACGTACCTTTATAGTATTAAAAAAAAAACTCAACTAAAAGTACTAGTTAATGGTAATAGTTAAAATTTATTGAACTGTTAATATGTGCAAGGCTTTGTGCTAAATGATATATATATATAATATATAAGTTAATCTGATTTAATTCTTAAATATCCTGTGATGTAGGCACTATTGTTACCCTATTTTATATTTGAGGAAATTGAGGCTCACAGAGGTTCAATAATTCACTAGTGCCACAGAGCTGGCAAATGATAGATTTGGAATTTTACTCAGACTAACCCATAGTTCATATGTGTTTTTATATATATATATATAAAAGTATACATAAATGTATACTTTAACATGTTAAGCGCCCAGCCTGTTTTGTCTTCCAGATGGAAAGTATAGTGTCAGTCACCGGTGACTGCCATGGCGCTTACGTTTTTTAAAAAAATGGTAGCATTGCTTTCATGTGACCATTTTCAAAGTGCAATTTTCAGACCCTGGAGTTTCTTCTGAGATTCTTTCATGACTTTGAAAATCAACACTATTATCACAAAAATAGAAAGACACTATTTGCCTTTTTCACTATGTTGACATTTATTGTAATAATAATACAAAGACACTATTTACCTTTTCACCATGTTGACATTTGCACTTATAATATAAAAGCAATGGTGAGTAAACTGCTTGTGCCTCAGGACAGTGGTATCAAGCTGTACTAGTAATTTTTGTATTAGTCACCACCATGCATTCACAGTAAAAAATATTACAGTCATACTGAATTTACCTGAGGAAGTATTGAAATACTTTGTTAATTCTAATTTTGAATTTGTGTCTTTAAAAAATATTTTGTGTAGTGAAATGGGTAGTATGCATAAAGCACTTCTGTGTCTGAAGTATGATATATTTTGAGGAAAATCACTTGTGTATTGAATTGTAAGCTAAACTACCCACTTTTTAAAAACAGAAGAACATTTTTACTTGAAAGAATGACTGACAACCCATGGTGTATTATTTATTTTTGTGTAGAAATGTTACCATAAACATGTGGTTTAAAACCACACACATTTCTTATCTCATACTTTTTGTGCGTTAGTAGTCAGTTCATGGCTTAGCTAGATCCTCTGCTTTAAGATCTCACAAGGTTACATTCAAGGTGTGGGATCTGAGGTTGAAGTCTCATCTGAAGCTCAGCTGGGGAAGTATCTGTTTCTAAGTTCTCATGGTATTGACAGCACTTGTTCCTTAAGGGTTGTCATACTGAGAGTCTCAGTATTTTACTGGCTTTTGGCTGAATCTTTTTCAGGTGGGTCTTCCCAACATGGCTTTTGCTTCCTCAAAGTCTGAAAGAGAAAGAGAAAGAGAATCCTTAACAAGGTGGCATTAAAATCTTATATAATGTGATCACATACAAAAATTGTGTATCTTGTCACCTTTGCTGTATTCTTTTTTTTTTTATTGCTTAAAGTATTACAAAGAGTATTACATATGTCTCCTTTTTTTGCCCCCGCCCTTGACAATCCCCTGGCCTCCCCTACCCCCAGTGTCTTATGTCCATTGGTTATGCTTATATGCATGCATACAAGTCCCCGATTTGTTTTTTTTAATCCAGGCCCTACCCCCAAGGTGACCCCAGTTTCAGAACTCCATAGTGGCCCCACAGGGAATTAAAGCTCTTAGAGTTCTGTATTTCTATCTAGAAGATCCAGCACAAAGGGTCCTTGTGGTCTGAAAAGTGTCCACGGCTGTGTGTGGGAAATACCTGTTATTTTTCTCTCTCTCTTCTCTCTCCCCACTTTGCCCGAGGACAACCCTGATCACACAAAGTTATGTGGCAACAGAACAGGCAACTTAAACTCCAAGAGAACATTGTCTCCCTGTGGAGAGGCCTCAAAAATGGGCTCCTGCACCAGTCTGCATTCCCACCAGCAGTGCACAAGTGTTCCTTTTTCTCCACATCCTCTCCAGCACTTGTCATTTGTTGAATTGTTGATGATAGCCATTATGACAGGTGTGAGATGGTACCTCATTGTTGTTTTGATTTGCATCTCTCGGATGATTAGCGACTTTGAGCATGTTTTCATATGTCTTTGGCTTTCTGAATGTCCCCTTTTAAAAGGTGTCTATTTAGGTGCTTTATTCTTTTAGTTAGAAGCAAGTAACATGTCTTGCCTGCACTAAAAGGGAATCATATAGAACATGAATACCAGAGTGGAGGGATCATGAGGCCACTTTTGAGTCTGTTCACCACACACAATGAGTTACTTAATCTTGGTTATTTGGCAAACATTTGCACAAAATTGAAAAAGGCACCTGTCACGTAGCAAAACCACTGATAGTATTTCTGTGAAGAGTAAAATTTGAGCTTTCAATCAAAAATTAGAATTTTTGAAAACTTGTATCTGCTACCATGATCTTGACAGCTTCCCAGTATTTAAAGACTTTTCTGATGGGTAGTATTAATAATTAAGATTTTTTTGTTACTGTATACTGAACTCTGTCAAGATTTGGACGATCTGCATAATTCAAAGAAACCAGTATTTTCCATATAACCAATGTATGATGTTACAAAATTATACCTGAAAGAAAGATCCTTTCAAAGTGTAAGATAGACTAATAGATTTTAATGAAACAAAGTACAAAGTTTAGTGATTAGGAGTAAGATTTTGCATTCCAACAAACCTTTAAGAAAATACCAACTGTTGAGTTTTGGTGTAGTATTAAAGAAGTGCACTTACAGTTATCCTAAAGTGCTTTAAAATACTCCCTCTTTCACCTGTATATATTTATAAAGCCAGATTTTCTTTATATTTTTCAACCAAACATTTCCTAGCAAATTAAAAGCAGAAGTAAATATGAGACTATAGTAGGTTTTGATTAAGCTAGACACTAAAGAGATTTGCCACTCTTTAATTTTTTTTTGTTTTCAAAATAGTCATAAAAATTACTTATGTTAATCTACCTTTGGTTTATTATAGTTTAAAATAAAATTAATACATATTTTTAAATTTTTCTGTTTTAATTTCTAATATGGCAAATATTAATGAATATGTCCCACCTGAATAAAAAACTCTTTTGAGTCTTCAGTAATTGTTAAATGTGTAAAGCGGTCCTGAAACCAAGGAGTTAGAGTATTAACACAAAAAGTTACCCAAAATATAGAGTATTTGCTATAAGTTAAAATCAAATTAACTCTTTTTTTTCATGTTTATAATAAGCTATTTGACATTGGCCTTAGAGAATAGTAAATTTTCCTTATGTTCTTTTGGCAGTAAGGGAAACAACTACCAAAGCACCTATACATTTTCTTGCAAATAATCAAGCTTAACACCACAATTGAATCCAAATATTTTTAGTACTAATAGTTTATTTTTTTCTGTATTTTATATCTTATTACTATAAGGTAATTTACCTACCTCTTGGCACTAAAAATTGATATTTTGAAGTGGTATCTTTTATAGAAGAGTTATTAAATTTAATTTTAGCCTACATAAAAATGAAAAGGAAGACTACAGCCTTTTAAAACTATGGCTAAATAAATGCAACTTCTATTTATATTTTGAAGATGTTATATATCATAAAAAATAAGAATATCTTTGGGCAGACACCTACCTCCCACCAACTCCCTCCTCACCCTTTGCGAATTCTTTTCTGTGGTTTTAGCATTCTGAAGTAATGATTAATAGTGAAATAGGCCCGGAATTAGCATTTAAAAGACTTAGATTGAAGCAAGAGATTTGAATGCTGATTTTGCTTTGCTCTTAACCATTGTCAAACCTCTCTGAGCCTCATTTTCTTTATATCTAAAATGAGAGATTTTACCCAAACTACTAACTCTCAATTTTGGCTTCTAAGATTCCATAGGCTATATTGAATGCTACTATAGATGGAAAGCTATCCAAAATATAAAGATTATTTGCTATTAGTTGGAATCACATTAAGTCAGTAGTTTTCTAATGCTTATCGTAAGCTGTTTGGCATTTGGAGAATAGAAAGCCAGAAAAAGAAACTTAGTTATTTAATTCAGTTTGCTAGAGAAATCTTTCCAGCATTGGACTCAGAAAAAAAACAAAGTTTGGGGTGGTATCTTTGGTGTTATAAAAGTTAGAAACTAAAACTTTCTAAATTACAGTGTTTTATTTATATGGGCTTAGTTTTTTAAATCAAAGCACCTCAATTGGTGTTTCCCAATCTTGGAGAATATTTAAAGGAGAGATTTTACCAATTGGTCTGGGTGGGTCCTGAAATGATGCATTTTAAACAACTCTCCCAAGTGATTCTAATGTGCAGTTAAAGTTAAGAATGACAGATGTATTCTGGAATGAATTGAGAATCCACTTTAAGGGACTTTACTCTGAATTTTGGAAGCAACTGTTTTTAATAAATTATAGTTTTTTATTTTATGTCATTTTTTTTGTTTACTTTTCATGGAATATCTCTATACTTTAGCATCTCCTTTAGATAGCAGGGATCTATTATCACCTATAAAGTCAGTGTGATATAGCCTAAGGGCATAGGCTTTGTAATCAGACCTGGGTTCTAATTCAACCCCAGCAATAAGAAGTTGGGGCTATATCACTAACCTTACATAACTATAGTCTATAAATTTATAGAATGGTGTATAATATTTGGTCTTTATTAGTCAAGTACTTGATTTAATTCATAAATGCACTGTGAATTTCAAGTACATTTGAAACATATGTACTGTGTAGTGCAAGTATATTTAAAGTGCAAGTACATTTAAATTTGAAAGGTGACTAACTTGAAGCTCAGAAGTTTCTTGCCCAAGGTTTCATAAATAAATGTATAGGTCTTCTTAATTCCAGTCTAATGCCTTACTGTTGTATTTGATATCTTTCCAAACTATTTTATAAGATATTAAAATTCCCTGTTGCCGAATTATTTTAATCAGTTAATGTTGAATAACATGAAACCTGGGCTCTGAAATTGTGGTAATTAACCAGAGTTGTCCCCTAAGAAAGTGTTATCAGTATTAACTTTATATTTCTGTTAAAGTACTATTTTAGAAAATGCAAGTAAATATTTTCCAATTTTTGAAGGGCAAATATTTGGAGAAAATATTTATCTTGAATTGAGATTGTGGTTGGTTACAGTTAAATCATATGACTATGGCATCATTGATTTTTTAAATACTATATAGTAAAGCTCAAATGCAGCTATCTTCCTGTTAGGCCTCAAATACTAAGGGTGGTTTGGGTTACTTCAATACCTGTTTCCATAACTTTTTTTAAAACAACAGCCATCATTTATTTAGTCACAGATTTGCAATGTGTACAGGCTGTGATAAGAAAGACCCATTTCTTTTTCTTAATTAATTACTTTTATTGGGGTATAATTGACAATATATATAAATTTTCGGTGTATAACACAAAGATTTGATTATTTGTATATATTACAAAATGATAACCATAGTAAGTCTAGTTAACAATTAACTCCATATGTATGGAGTTTTTTTTAATAAGAAATTTTAATATCTTAGCAACTTTCAAATATTCAGTATGTTGTTATTATTGTTATTTTGTTAATCCTCACCTGAGGATACTTTTTCCATTGATTTCTAGAAAGTAGAAAGGAAGGAGTAGGCTGGGAGAGAAACATGGATGTGAGAGAGACACATCAATTGATTGCCTCCAGGAGGTGCCCCAACCAGGGCCAGGGAACAAACCTGCAACTGAGGAAGGTCCCCTTGAGCATCAGTCAAACCCGAGACCCTTTGGTGAGCAGGCAGACGCTCTACCACTGAGCCACAATGGCCAGGGCTATTTTTAACTGTGGTTACAATGCTGTAAATTACATTGCTATGACTTATTTTATGGGTGGAATTTTTTACCTTTGATTCCCTTCACCCATTTGTTTTCATAATTTCTTAACAAACCAATGTCAATAGAAAAGTTGGTAGCAAAACAAAATTTTAAAAATGTAGTTATTCCTCAGTTTATTAGGATAAAACAAACTTTTATGTTTTTACTTTAAAATAATGTTTATTTGGGGGAGGAAAGTTTAGAAAGAGACATGTATTTTGAATATTTTCCTCCTCAGATAATATAGAGTATATCAAATCAGAACCAAATGGTGAATACAGACACGTATTCCTCTTTTCTCACTGAACATTCTACTTTGAATATTCTTTGGATTCTTCTAAAAAATATGATCTTAGTGGTTGTATGAAAGTTTGTTCTTTAATTTTTTTAAGCCATTCTGCCATTGTTGGACATATAAATTGCCATTGCCTTTATTTGCAAAAATTAAAAAGTAATAACATTTACTATTTATTTGCATTTAAATATTTTTGCTATTAAAATGTTATTTTTAATTTTTAAACGTTAAATTGATTTCAAATGAGTATTGGACTTATAGGGAAAATAATACAAAGTTTCATTAAAAAAAAAAAAAAGAATTCCATATACCCCTAACCCAGTTTACCCTAACGTTAACATCTCTCTTATCATAATCAGGTAGTCAACATTAACTAACTGCAGACCTTATTTGAATTTACCAGTTTTTCTGTTAATGTCATTTTTCATTCCCAATATCTTAGTCAGGATCATAAGTAGTTATAGCAGTTAGTTATTTCTTCTTAGTCTCCTCATCATTTTTTGCAGTTACTGACTCTTTGTCTTTCATGACCTTGATACTTTTTGTTTTCAATATTATCATCTTTATTTTTTATTTATTTTTACTTTTTGAAATGTATATTAATTAATAATTAATTTTATTATACATATTTTTTATTTTATTGTTTAAGGTATTACAAAGAGTAGTACATATGTCTCCTTTTTTTTCAGTACTTAAAAGCTGCCAATGTTGTTATTTGCATTTGTTTGACTAGTAAATTGGATAAAAGTTTTTTGTTATGTATTGGTCATTTGTATTTTGCTTTTTAAAAAAATACATGTTTTTATTGATTTCCAGGGAGAGGAAGGGAGAGGGAGAGATAGAAACATTAATGATGGGAGAGAATCACCATCAGCTGCCTCCTACATGGCTCACACTGGAGATCGAGCCCACAACCCAGGCATGTGCCCTGACAGGGAATAGAACCATAACCTCCTGGTTCATAGGTTGATGCTCAACCTCAGCCACACCGGCCAGGCTGTATTTTGCTTTTGAAGTGTTTCAGTTTATGTTCTTTGCCCATTCTTAAAGTGACTTTTTCCCTTTAGTTTTTTTTTTAATTGATCTCAGAAAGGAAGGGAGAGAAATAGAGAGAAACATCAGTTATGAGAGAGAATCATTGATTGGCTGCCTCCTACATGCCCCCTCCTGGGGGAGGTATCTAGCCCACAACCTGGGCGTGTGCCCTTGGCCAGAATCGAACCTGGGATCCTCTATCCACTGAGTCAAACTTCTAGGGCCCCTTTAGATTTTTAAGCATTGCTGATCTTAAAGCTTTTGCATGTTAAATGTTATAATGTATAGAATGATCCAGAAGTCACGGAGTTTATTCTCCTCAATGATGATCTTTTATAAATAGCGTTCGAATATATTGTGTGTATCAGTATATTTAATATATAATAGTATTGGAGTATATATCTCTAAATTATATAGACCACACTTTTCATAATTAGTTATACTAAACATATGTGTGTTAATGTAAATTTATACTGCCTTATACTTTATCACATGATTCATCTCATACTTTTTACTCTTCTTGAGATCGTTCTGCTTACTGGGACCATCCTCATGGAAAGGCTGGAACTTCCCTTGAGCTGTAAGGTCTCCAGCTGGCCTAGATCATTCTTTTAAACAACTTTCATTGTAAACCCTGTCTTTCAGGTTTTCTTATTTGTTCACTTTGCCGATCAGGCAGCTTTTGTCTTTACCCTGTGAGATGGGAGGTTACCTGGCCCAGCATAGGTTTCTGTGGGATGGTGGGAAGAATGAAGAACCCATTCTTTCTCTTCCTAATCTTTGGCTTATACATTTTTCCAATAAAGATGATTCTAAAACTCATACCACCTATACCAGGGGTGGGCAAACTTTTTGACTTGAGGGCCACAATGGGTTCTTAAACTGGACTGGAGGGCCGGAACAAAAGCATGGATGGAGTTTTTGTGTGAACTAATATAAATTCAAAGTAAACATCATTACATAAAAGGGTACGGTCTTTTTTTTTTTAGTTTTATTCATTTCAAATGGGCTGGATCCGGCCCGTGGGCCGTAGTTTGCCCACGGCTGATCTATACTAATAAAAGGGTAATATGCTAATTAGACTGGACGTCCTTCTGGACATCCTTCTGAGGGCCGGCAGCCGCAGCAACTGTGAGGGCTGAGGGCCAGTCTGTCGCCGCAGTCCCTTTTGCAGATGCTGCGGGAGAAGGCAGAAGGGAGAAGGCAGTGCTGCAGGAGAAGGCAGAAGGCCGGCACCGTGGGAGAAGGCAGAAGGGAGAAGGCCGGCACCGCAGGAGAAGGCAGAAGGGAGAAAGTGGCAGTTAGGCAGTTAGGGCCATCAGGCCAGGAGGGGAGAGCAGTTAGGGGGATCAGGAGAGGAAAGCAGTTAGGGCGATCAGGCCATCATGGGAAAGCAGTTAGGCATTCAGGGTATCAGGCCGGCAGGGGAGAGCAGTTAGGGGTGATCAGGCAGGCAGGGAGCAGTTAGGAGCCAGTGGTTCCGGATTACAAGAGTAATTGAGTCATCAAAGGTTAGTCTTATAATATTGCAGTTAAATTTACTTTTATAAAAATATGAAACAGAATAATTATAACTGTGTTGAATAAATGTAATACTCCTCTGAAATATTTTAACAGGGTTACATAACAAACTCATCACGAGTTGCATCTAGTAATTCTACAGAGTTGCTGTTTGACTTGACCCAGGATACAGGATTATCACATTACCAAGGAGGACCGACACTTTGTATAACAGGTTGGTTTTAGTATTTTTTTTAAAAATTATAAGAAGAAACTTGGTGAATATGCATGTGAAATAGATTTTCTGTTTGAAGTCTTTGTCTTCATGTTAAGTTTTTTATATAGTAAAGTAGAATGGTGCTAATCGTGCATGGCTTTCTTGGGTTGTTTTAAATCTTACTTAATGATAGAATATTTTACTTCTTCCTTTTAATGCCATAGGCTAATTGACTTTGAGATCGTTCTCACTTGCACTAAACATACGCTGAAAATAATTGCCATAAGTTAGAGAAGTCCTCTGATAACCTGAATACTCTGTTAAAAGAAGTACTAAACCTTTTATGATGACCAGTGTGAAAAGTATATGATTATAGTTAATGTTTTAATTAGTTTAGTGGCTTCCTACTAATTTAATGATTTATATATGACAAGTATGATTATAGAGTACTATTATAAAGTGGTTATAATAAATTTGTATATAATTAGTATTCACTAAATGCCCTTTGAAGGAGTAATGAAATGTTCCTATTGAAGAAGAGTTAAAGTTCTTTGTATACTAATAACAAAGCTCTTCATTAACCTACAATATAAAATAGTTTGCTATGAAAAAATTTTATATAATTGAAAATTACCTGTAATCAAAGCAGTTATGCTTTGTATATTAGCAATTTTGAAATATTTCAAATATTTGACTAGAGATACACGAGATTTGGGGGACTTTTTAAAAATTATTTTCTAATAAATCAATGTAGAAAATTTACCAAATCTCTCCCAATGTTTTAATAGTAATATTAGTGCCTAAAATGCTTTTCTATTTAGATAACATTTATTTGATATTCACTTCTTTGGGTGTCACTTACTTTGTGACACTTGTAGAAATCTAATTTTTAAAATAGGTAGGAACCAGCTTTGGCCAGATACTCAGTTAGTTAGAGCTTTGTCCCAATATGCCAAGATTGCAGATTGGATCTCCTATTGGGGCACATACAAGAATCAACCAATGTATTCATAAATAAGTGGAACAACAAACCTCTCTCTTTTTCTCTCTCTCCCTCTCTCCTTCTTCCTCTCCCTCTTTTCCCTCTCTCTCTTCCCCTCCTTCTCCCCCTTTCTCGTCCCCCCTCTGTCTCTTTCTCAAGTCAATCCATAAAAATAAAAAATAGGTAGGAACCAAAAGAAACATGGAGAAAAAAATAGTGGTCTTAAGTCAGGCTTTACAAAACACATGGACTTTATTCATAGGAAAGGTCTGAATTCTTTAAACTTCTTGCAGTAAGGACAGTGGCACTTACACTTTAAGTTTCCTACTGCAGAGAGAAAGACTTCAGCCTGAGCAATAAGTAGGATGATTTAGAGATGTTAGTCTTGAGATTTTTGTAGTCTTTATCAAGTCTTTACACTTTAGTTTTCTCATATTATTAAAATGAAACTTTTATTTTTCTTATTTAGTGCATTCTCTAGATGAGGAATCAGCCATTTGGAGATCAATTTTTAATTCTTGCTCTATTTTAGTCAGAACTTTTTGAAGTACAAATAAGATAAAATTTGAAAATGCATTATGAACTTTAAAGGACTTGACAACAAATAGTTGCTGTGAATGATAATATGTGCTATGTGTTCAGTAGCATGATTAACTGACCACTGTCAGGTGATCACACGAATGCTGGAGATTAGATTTGAAATTGATCTTGAATGAGAATAGGATTTTTACTGACAGAGAAAGGGCTGTTGAGTATAGGAAACAACATAAACCAAAGACAACAGAGATAAATAAGTCAAATGGTCAGAATTTAAAACTCTTAAATGCAGAGGGATTTTATTTCTTATGTTAAAAATGTTTTTGAAGTAAAAGTTTTATTTCTATTGTTCATCTTGTTATATAATCAGATGCTTAATCCAAAATACCAATACTCATTGGCTTTTCAAGTAACCTGAGCATCTTACGAGAATGCTACTGTGATAACAAAATCTTTCCCAGGTCCCCATAGTATAGTCATTAGTAATTATCTGCTTTGAAGATGGAAAAAAAATCATTTTTATGTTATCTCAAAGGATGAAACAGAGGAGCCAATTAATATAATGGCTTATTTTTCTGACCTGTTTCCCCTTATTAGGTGAATCTACTAGAATAATTTTTTTCTTCTAAAGATCTGAAATATTTTTTTAGTAATGATTATATCTATCATTTATTACTGAATGCTTTCAGCTATTGTGTTGGGTGCTTTAAATGCACTATCTTATTTTATCTTAAAACAGCTTTGTAAAACGAGGTATAATAACAAAAGAGGAAACTGAGTCTCAGAGAAGTTAATTAAATAAGCCAAAAATACATATAGCTAGTCAGTGACAGAGCCTGGAATATTTCTCTTTTTTATTTCCAATTTTAAATCATTATTATTTTTCAATTATAGTTGACATTATATTAGTTTCAGATATACACCCCAGTGATTAGACATTACATAACTTACTAAGTGATCATCCCAATAAATCTTGCACCCATCTAACACCATACATAGTTCTTAGAATATTATTCGCTATATTCCCTATGCTGTACTTTATATCCTCATGACTATTCTGTAGTAACGAATTTGTACTTTTTAACCCCTTCACCTTTTTCACCCTTATACCCAACCCCACCACCCTTTGGTAATCGTCAAAATGTTCTCTGTTCTGCTTGTTCGTTTATTTTGTTTTTTTAGAGTCAATTATTGATAGATTTGTACTAATTGCCATTTTATTGTTCATATTTTTTATCTTTTTTTCTTCCTAAACAAGACTCAAATATTTCATATAGTACTAGTTTAATGGTGATGAACTCCTTTAGCTTTTTCTTGTCTGGGAAGTTCTTCATCTGTCATTTTATTCTAAACTAGGGGTCCAGTGCACGAATTCGTGTACCTTGAAAGGAACTGTGGGCCTCGAGGCTGCAGTAGACACAAACGGGTCTCAGCCCATCCTCCCCGCCCCTGCCTGGCCCCTCCTACCGCGGTCCCCAGTCTCCTTTCTGCTGGCAGCTCCACTCCCATCGCTGCCGCTCCCACGTGCTGACAGCTCTGGCCCCACTTGCACCCACAGATGGCGTGGAGTGATCGGGGCCAGCGCCAGCAGTGGGTGCAAGTGGGTCCAGCAGTGGCTCTGGCACTGACAGCGGGTGCGAGAGGCAGCTGCTGGCCCAGATCTCCCCTCAGGAGCAGGGGTAGGTAGAGAAGCCCTGAGGGGCTATTGGGGCTGGCAGCCGCCACTCCAGCTGATGGCACCAAGTGATTGGGACTGGCACCGGAAGCGGGTGTAGTGGCGGCTCCAGCAGTGAGTGCGAGAGGGGCTGCTGCCAGCAGCAGGTGCGAGTGCCAGGTGGAATTTTCAGTAACCACCAGATGCTCGCCCCGATGATAGTGACTGGTGCCCTGCATTGGTCTGGCGCCTCCGCTCACCTCCTCCACCATCCCTTCGCGGCCGACACCCACCATGCTCTGTGCTTTGCCGCCTGCAGCTGACACCCACCATGTTCTGCATGTGCTGCCTGTTGGTCAGCGCACATCATAGTGACCGGTTGTTCAGATGTTCCGCCGTTCAGTCTATTTGTATATTAGCCTTTTATTATATAAGACTAGAGGCCCAGTGCACTGTTTCGTGCACTGGTGGGGTCCCTAGGCCTGGCCTGCGTCCTCTTGCAGTCTGGGACCCCTTGGGGGATGTTGGACTGCCAGTTTTGGCCCGATCCCTGCAGC